AAATGGGGGGAAGGGGGGAAAAGGGGGAAAGAAAAAGGGGAAAATGGAAAGGGGGGAAAAGGGAAAGGGGGAAGGGGGAAAAAGGGGGAAAGAAAAAGGGGGATAGGGGGAAAAAGGGAAAGGGGGAAAAGGGAAAGGGGGAAAAGGAAAAGGGGGAAAGGGAAAAGGGGAAAGAAAAGGGGAAGAAATGGGAGGGAAAAGTGGGAGAAAAGGTGGGAAAAGGAGGGAAAGACAGGAGGGAAAGAAGAGGGGAAAATGGGGGGGAAAGTGGGGTAAAAGGGGGAAGAAAAGGGGGAAAGAAAATAAATGGGGGAAAGAAATGGGGGAAGAATGGGAGAAAAGGGAAAAAAGGGACAAGGGGGAGAAGGGGCAAGAAAGGGGATTTTTCTTTGTTAAAACCTGAATTCCCATTGGATTTCAATCCCAAAAATCTAGTTAATGACACAATAAAATCTAACTTTCCAAGCTCAATATTCCCCATAATTAATCCCAGTGGGAATATTCCAAATAATTCCCAGTATTTCCAAGCCAAATATTCCCAGTAATTCCCAACATTCCCAAGTCCAATATTCCCACTGGGAATCAGCAGCAGCACCAAGCACCCTCCATCCCTTCCCAGACAGATTTCCCACTGGAATCACAGCTGGAAAAAGGGAAGTAACGCTCTCCCAGCTTCCTGGGAGTGGGATTTGCTGGAATATCCTGGCAGGGTTTAGTGGAATATCCCAGGTGGATTTAATGGAATATCCTGGTGGATTTTGCTGGGTTCCCAGGTGGATTTTTCTAGGGTGTCTCAGATTTTGCTGGAATTCCCAGGTGGGTTTTCCTAGAATTCCCAGGTGGATTTTGCTGCAATATCCCAGTGGATTTTGCTGGAATTCCTGGATAGATTTCCCTGGAATTCCTGGGTGGACTTTTCTGGAATATCCTTGTGGATTTTGCTGAAATTCTGCTGGAATTCCCAGGTGGATTTAATGGAATATCCTGGGTGGATTTTGCTGGGATTCCCAGGTGGATTTTCCTAGAATTCCCAGGTGGATTTTGCTGCAATATCCCAGTGGATTTTGCTGGAATTCCTGAATGGATTTCCCTGGAATTCCTGGGTGGACTTTTCTGGAATATCCTTGTGGATTTTGCTGAAATTCCTGGGTGGATGTTGCTGGAATATCCCAGTGGATTTTGCTGAGATCCCCAGCTGGGTTTTTCTGGAATTCCTGGGTGGATTTCCCTGGAATTCCCAGGTGGATTTTTCTGGAACATCCCAGTGGATTTTTCTGGAATATCTCAGTGGATTTCGCTGGAATTCCCAGGTGGATTTTTCTGGAATATCTCAGTGGATTTCGCTGGAATTCCCAGGTGGATTTTTCTGGAATATCTCAGTGGATTTCGCTGGAATTCCCAGGTGGATTTTTCTGGAATATCTCAGTGGATTTCGCTGGAATTCCCAGGTGGATTTTTCTGGAATATCTCAGTGGATTTCCCTGGAATTCCCAGCTGGATTTTGCTGGAATTCCTGGGTGGATTTCCCTGGAATATCCTGGTGGATTTCCCTGGAATTCCCGGATGGGTTTCCCTGGAGTTCCTGGGTGGGTTTCCCTGGAATTCCCGGGTGGGTTTCCCTGGAGTTCCCGGGTGGATTTCCCTGGAGTTCCCAGATGGGTTTCCCTGGAGTTCCCGGATGGGTTTCCCTGGAATTCCCGTGTGGATTTCCCTGGAATTTCTGGATGGATTTCCCTGGAGTTCCCGGGTGGATTTCCCTGGAATTCCCAGGTGGATTTTTCTGGAACATCCCAGTGGATTTTTCTGGAATATCTCAGTGGATTTCCCTGGAATTCCCCGGTGGATTTTGCTGGAATTCCTGGGTGGATTTCCCTGGAATTCCCGGGTGGATTTCCCTGGAGTTCCCAGATGGGTTTCCCTGGAGTTCCCGGATGGGTTTCCCTGGAATTCCCGGGTGGATTTCCCTGGAATTTCTGGATGGATTTCCCTGGAATTCCCGTGAGGGTTTCCCTGGAGTTCCCGGGTGGATTTCCCTGGAGTTCCTGGGTGGATTTCCCTGGAATATCCCGGTGGATTTCCCTGGAATTCCCAGATGGGTTTCCCTGGAGTTCCCGGGTGGATTTCCCTGGAGTTCCTGGGTGGATTTTACTGGAGTTCTGTGTGGATTTCCCTGGAATTCCGTGTGGATTTCCCTGGAATTCCGGCTGGGCTTCCCTGGGACCCCCTACCTGCAGACCAGCTCGCCGTCCATGGCGTCCTGCTCGTCGGTGCTGGCGAAGGACACGCGGCCGCCGATGACGGCGCCGATGATGTACACCAGCCACGTCAGCCGCCCTGGGGACACGGGGACACGTCAGGGCTGCCACCCGCAGCGGCACCCGCGGCAAAAGAAACCCCGAATAAATCCATTTATCCGCCAAATAAATCCATTTTTCCCTCGGAAAACCTCGCTCTGCTCTGGGGCGCACAGGGGGCACTGCCAGAGCTGTCACCTCTTCTTTTAGTGGCCATCTCGCCCAAAATCAATCAGTTTTTTGCAAAATAAATCCATTTTCAACAAAATCAATCCATTTCCTCCCAAATAAATCCATTTTGCTCCAAAGAAATTAATTTTTCCCCAAACTGATCCATTTTTCCCCAAATCGATCCATGGGATGGGATGGGTTGAACACCCTCATAACTTTGACAGGAAGGCAAGGAAATATCCTAAATTTCCCCAAATCCTGGGAATTCCTCCCCCGTGCAGGGATTTTCCAGGCCAGTTCCTTTGGGGAGCCCCCACCCGTGCCAGGGCTGAGCTTCCTGCACAGCCGGGTCCTCGGGGCTGGTGGGGCCACGGATGGGGTGGGATCCATGGGATAGGATTGGGATCCATGGGATAGGACTGGGATCCATGGGATGGGATAGGATTTATGATAGGATTGGGATTCTTGGGATGGGATTGGGATCTATGGGATGAGATCCAGGGGATGGGATCCATGGGATGGGATTGGTATCCATGGGATTGGGATCTGTGGGATGGGATCCATGGGATGGGATTTGGATCCATGGGATGGGATTTGGATCCATGGGATGGGATCCATGGGATGGGATTTGGATCCATGGGATGGGATTTATGATAGGACTGGGATCCATGGCATGGGATGGGCAGCACTGGACAGGGAACCCCTCCCACGGAGCAACCACGCCATCCCTCCCCTGCGCAGGGATTTTCCAGGCCAGTCCCTTTGGGAAGGAGCCCGGAGCCGTGCCAGGGCTGACCTTCCTGCACGGCCAGGTCCATGGGGCTGGCGCTGGCGCTCTGCAGCAGCTCCTGGTAGGACTGGGCGGCCTGGTCGAAGAGCTGCACCAGCAGCGCGCACGTCTTCTCGTACTCGCAGCGCCCGATGGTGGACAGCTGGTCCAGCTGCTGCTGCACCAGCCCCGTGTCCTCCAGAGGGTCCTCCAGGCCATCCCTGCAAAAAGCACGTGGGAAATGGAGCAGGGCGTCCCAGGAGCAGCAGATCCCTGGTTTTACTGCCAGGGGTGTTGGAGATGTGGGTTGGAATTCGCACAATCATGGAATGGTTTAAGTTTTCCCCACAGAATTTGGGCTGGAAAAGGTTTCAAGGATCCTCCATTGGACAACATCTTTAAACTAACCAGGAATTTCAAGGCACACTGTTGGGAGCAAATTCCCAGCGCTTCCAAGGGGAAACAAGAAGGAAAACAAGGCAGGAACATGATTTGTGTTGTTTGACTTGAGTTTTTCCCACAGAATTTGGGCTGGAAAAGGTTTCAAGGACTTTCCATTGGACAACATCTTTAATGGCCTGGTTGCTAAACTAACCAGGAATTTCAAGGCACACTGTTGGGAGCAAATTCCCAGTGCTTCCAGAGGGAAAAAAGAAGGAAAACAAAGCAGGAACATGATTTGTGTTGTTTGACTTAAGTTTTTCCCACAGAATTTGGACAACAAGGATTTAAAGCTCAGCTCACTGCACCTTCCACTGGCCTTTAATGGCTTGGTTGCCAAATTAACCAGGAATTTCAGGGCACACCATTGGGAGCAAATTCCTAGTGCTTCCAGAGGAGAAAAAAGAAGGAAACCAGGGAGTTGTGATTGTGTTGTTTAAGTTTTTCCCACAGAATTTGGGTTGGAAGGTGTTTAAAGCTCAGTTCCTTCCACATTCCACTGGTTGCCAAATAAACCAGGAATTTCAGAGCACATCATTGTGAGCAAATTCCCAGTGCTTCCAGAGGGAAAAAAAGAAGGAAAACAAAGCAGTGAGTTATGATTTGTGTTGGAAAGAGCTTAAATCCCGGCCCATCCTGCCCCCTGCCATGGGCAGGGACAGCTCCCTCCGTGCCACCTCAGCCATGTCCTCTCCAGGGGGAACACCCCACTTTTCCCAGCCTTAGGATCAGCAGGAGCTGCCAGGCGTGGGACGGCCTCACCTGAGGATGATGTGCACGGATTCCAGGCGGGAGGTGATGTAGGCTTTGGTCACCTCGGGCGTGTAGGTCTCCAGCAATGGAAAAGAAGGCAGGGAGTTATGATTTGTGCTGTTTGACTTGATTTTTTCCCACAGAATTTGAGCTGGAAGATGTTTAATGCTCACCTCGCTGCACCTTCCCATAGCTTTTAATGGCCTGGTTACCAAATTAACCAGGAATTTCAGAGCACACTGTTGGGAGTAAATTCCCAGTGCTTCCAGAGGGAAAAAAGACGGAAAACAAGGCAGGAACATATGATTTGTGGATTTAAGTTTTTCCCACAGAATTTTGGTTGCAAGGGGTTCAAAGCTCAGCTCGCTGCACCATCCATTGGCCTGGTGGCCAAATTAATTAGGAACTTCACTAGGAAGAGCACGCTGTTGTTAGTAAATTCCCAGTGCTTCCAGAGGGAAAGGAGAAGGAAAATAAACCAGGGAGTTATGATTTGTGTTGTTTGATTTAAGTCTTTCCCTCAGAATTTGGCTTAGAAGGTGCTTAAAGCTCAGTTCCTTCCATTGGCCTTGTTACCTAATTAGCCAGGAATTCCAGGACACATTGTTGGGAGCAAATTCCCAGTGCTTCCAGAGGGAAAAAAGAAGGAAAACAAGCCAGGAACATATGATTTGTGCTGCTTAAGTTTTTCCCACAGAATTTGGGTTGCAAGGGGTTTCAAGTTCAGCTCGCTGCACCTTCCACTGGCCTTCAATGGCCTGGTTGCTACATTAACCAGGAATTTCAGGGAACACTGTAAGGAGCAAATTCCCAGTGCTTCCAGAGGGAAAAGACAAGGAAAACAAAGCAGGAAGTTATGATTTGTGTTGTTTGACTTGAGTTTTTCCCACAGAATTTGGGTTGGAAGCCATTTAAAGCACCTCCCATTGGACAATATCTTTAATGGCCTGATTGACAAATTAACCAGGAATTTCAGAGCACACTGTTGGGAGTAAATTCCCAGTGCTTCCAGAGCGAAAAGAGAAGGAAAACAAGCCAGGGAGTTATGATTTGTATTGTTTGACTCCAGTTTTTCCCACAGGATTTGGGTTGGAAGGGGTTTAAAGCTCAGCTTGTTGCACCTTGCACTGGCCTGGCTGCCAAATGAACCAGGAATTTCAGGGCACACGTGGATCAGTCATTCCCAGCACTCAGGAAACACTGGGAGATAATCCCAAATTCCCAAGACATGCAGCTGAATCCCAGGCCTCCTCCAGCTCCCACACACTGCACAGCCTGAGCTGCTTCCCAGGAATTCCAATTCCACAAACAAAGGAGTTTATTTTTTAAACCTTCTCCTGTGCAGGGCTGTGGCTGTGAGCTGTACGCACAGCTGGAAAACTCAGTGGGAATATCCATGATATTCCAATTCCTCCCAATCTCCCTGAGTGCATTGCAACAGTGAAATGAGACAGAGTCCTAAAAATAAACCTTATTTAACACGTTTTTTTAATTCCCTGCCAGGATATGGAAAAGCCTCTGAAGGCATGGCAACAACTCTGCCTTCCCACATAGATTCCATTCAGGAATTCAGAGGATGATCCATGAGGGATTTCTGTAACAATTCCCTGCTTCCAGGGAACCCAAAGGGCAGGAAGGGCTGTACCTGCAGGCTGGTGACGGTGAAGTTGGCGATGAGCCGGATCACCTCGGGGTAGTTCTCCACCTTCACCAGCTCTCCCAGTTGGTAATTGCTTTTCAACCGGGCCAGCAGCCGGCAGAACTCGTGGTAATTGTTGGGGTCTGACAAACTCTGAGGGGACAAAAAGAGGAGGGGGACTCAGGAGCAGCTCTGCTGTCCCTGTCAGAGGCTCAGATCATCATGGAATCAGAGACAGCTCCAAGAGCAAGCCCAAGCTCCCAACAAATCCCACTCTGCCCGTTAAACCAGGTCAGCAATTGCCACATTTCCTGGATTTTGGTCATTTCCAGGGATGTTTCCAGTCCTTAAATACCTTTCCAATGGAGAATTGCTCCTACAGGAGCAGCTCTGCTGCTCCCTGCCAGAGGCTCGGATAATCATGGAATTGGAGAGCTCCAACAACAAGGCTAAGATCTCAACAAATCCCACTCTGCCCAGTCAGCAATTGCCACATTTACTGGTTTTTGGGCACTTCCAGGGAAGGTTCCAGCCCTTAAATACTCTTCCAATGGAGAAATTTTTCCTAATATCCACCATGAACCTTCCTTGGTGGTGGAATGGTGGGAAAAGGGAAGAGCAGGACAACACTGCACTTTGCCAAGTGTCCAAGTGGGACATCAAAAAGGATTTTTTTCCATGAAATTTTTTCCATGAAATCCATGAAAAGGATTTTTTGAGATGAAACGTGCTGGAGAGAACGCAGAGCCTCAGTTTCCCCCTGGAATACTCACCTGGGGGTTTTCCAGTATCCGTTTCACTCCATCCACCAGGTGAGATAAGAACTTTGCCCTCTCGGCATTGTTGAAGAGGGAGCGGCGCACAGAGGCAATCTGCACCAAGCAGGATAAAACCTGCCAGGACACAGAAAAATGGGAATAAACACAAAACCAGGGATGAAAACAAGGAAATGAAGAAATATTCCCCTCATGACACAAGCAGGGATTGAGGTTTGGTGCTTCTTTAGGGACCAAACAGCTCCTTCGTCTCTGCAGAGGAGAAAGAAATCACAGCACCCAAAGCAACAGTTCCATCCCAAAAATCACAGAATTATGGAATTTCTGAGGTTGGAAAAGCCCTCCAAGGTCAGAGTCCAACCTTTGATCCCCACCTTTGATCCCAGAGTCCTCTTTGATCCCCAGAGCTCTGAGTGCCATGTCCAAGCTTTCCCTGGACAGCTCCAGGGATGAGCATTCCAATGGAATAATTTCAGATTTCCATTCAAAAAATGGATTCTCACACCTCAAATCTCTCCTGAATATTTAAGGCTTGAAATTCAGGATTAGCCACCAACTCCCCATCAGAATAAGTGGAGTCTCCATGGAAAAATTCCCTCTGAAGGCCCTTCCCTCTCAGCCTTGTTTTCACTCAGCCTCTTCACTTGTTTTTTAATTATGGGAAATATGTATCAGAAAAACATCTGAAAGACATTTTTATATTATTTTTCCAAAAGAAATCAACGTTTTATTTTTCCAGAAGAAATAATCCAACTTTTAGCTCAGTTGTGCTCTTGGCTCTTTCACCCCAATGGGACACGGCCTCATTTGGAAGGTTGGAAGGAGAAATTCCATTCCTGGGGGTGTTCCCAGATTTGCTCCCCTATTCCTGGTGTGGTTTTAGGACTTGGTTTGGGAATAACAGGAGTTGCTCCCCCAAGGGGATGAGCAAATAGAAGATTCCAAGCTATGTGAGGAGAAGGGAGGTGGAAATTTCAGCAAAAAAGTGCTTTTAGGGAAAGTCCAACCTCAGAGATGCTTCAAAACTCTCAGCAGCATTTGGACACTTCAGTACAACCTGGGGCACCTGAATCCCCAGGGAATCTCCCAGAGGAATCCTAAAATAATGGAAAATAAACCCTGGACTTACCAGAGGAGAAAATGAAGGAGGGATGGAATGATAAAGATCAAAAAACAACTGAAGGGTCGAAGAATCCAAGAATGCTGCAAGAGAAAAGAGGATTTTACCTCCATTTACAGCTTCCCACAGGTCTAATCCTTATTTTACCACTCGTGGCACATGGATTTGTCACACCAAAGCACCACAATCCCAAGAAAAATTCTCCCAGGATTTTGTATTTTTAAGGCAAATGCCTTTCCTAGAAATTGAGTCACCCACTGGTGCTTGGAACTGGGAGAAAATGACAGGAAGGTATTTTAAGAACACAATCTGTGCCTGTCAAATGCCTGCTGGGAACAGCAGGATGTGGGAAAAAGGTGCCAAGTTATTCCCTAGTTTTTTTTAAAATCTTTTTCTCCTGGTTTTTGGAACAAGAGGTGAAAGACTGGAAGGGAAAAGGGGATTTAAAAGCAACATAAAATCCCCCAAAAACGAATCAGGTGGGTTTAGGGCTGAGTTGAACCTCTGGCTTTACACCCTGGGGGTTTATTTCTAAAAAAACCAAAAACTGGAGCGTTTTCCAGGTGGGATCCTGTGGGATCACCTGATCTCCAACTGGTTGGGATCTGCACAGTGCAAAGATCATCCGAGGACTCGTCCGTGGAGGTGCCGATGAAATCGAAGTTCAGGCAGTTGTGGGTGAGCTTGAGGAGCTGCATCAGCAGCCCGTGCTGGCTCTCATCGTTCAGGTTCAGGTTCTTCCCAGAAGCCTGTGGGAAACATGGGATCAAGGCAGGGAAAAGGGAAAAAAAATTAAATAAATCCAGGTGGCGGCTGAATTGAGGTGGGATTTTATTTGAGGCAGGATGGGGCTTTGTGGAATGAGCAGTGGGTGTGTTTTTATAGGTGGTGAGGCATAAATGAAATAAATAAAAAGAAATAAATTTTAAAAAAATTAAATAAATAAAATAAATATATTCCAGCATAAATAAAATCCCAGAGATTCTCCACGACAGGAATAAGAGGCAGCATTCCCATTTCCCTCCCTGAAGTGCACAGGGATGAGGACTGAGGGATCCAGGAGATCATGGAAGTCTCAATAATGATAAACACAAAACCCTTTCCTCTCTGACAGGAATCCTGTGCCCTCCTTCCCACAGGAATGAGGAAAACTGGGATAAAATCTGGGATAAAACTGGGACAAGGACTCATTTGTCACAGATATTTAAAACAGAAACCCAAATTTTCCTTTCTCTCCTGATGCTTTAAGCCAGGGAACTTTAACCCCAGGCTCAGGAATTTGTTTGCAGCTGGAATTGTAGAGAAGAATTTGATTTCTGGGTTTATTTTCTATATATTACCTAAATAAAATCTATTTAATATGTACTACTTAAATAAAATATATTTATTAATATTGATTTCTTTAGGAAGAAAAAAAATTATTAATTAAGGAAGTTTTCCTTGAGAAAGAACAGAGAAGATTAACCCCAGGCTCAGGATCCAAGGATTTATTTGCAGCTGGAATTGTAGAGAAGAGTTTGATTTCTCAATTTTTTACTTATTATTTAATTAAAATATATTGAAAAATTCTTATTTAAAGAAAGTCTACTAAATATATATTAATTAAATAACATCTATTTATTAATACAGATTTATTTAGGAAGCAAAACTTCATTAATTAATCCACTTTTTCCTTGAAGAACAACCCCAAAACCAGAATTTTTTCAGGACACAAATGCTCATTCCAGGAAGGAACTTCACCCCAACATTCCACTTCCCAAAAAAAAGCTTCCCAAACCTTCCTTACCTGTTTCAGTAAACTGCAGGACAGGGTGAAAATATCAAATAACGAGGAATCCCGGAAGGAAGAGGCGATTTTCCTGTGCTTGGTCAGGGGGTGGGTGGTGTCTGCCTGCAGGGAGACAAGCCGGGCTCAGAGCTCTGGGAGCACAGCAGGAAAAGCAGGAAAAGCAGCAGGAATCCCAGGAAATTGAGATTTCCCTCCCCAAAACCAGCGGGATGCAATTCTCCAGTTTTTCCATGGAAAAATTCACATTCCTGGTGTTGTGTTCACACAGCTGGGCTGGGTTTATTCCCAATTTATTCCTTCAATTTTTGCCCAAATCATTGCCCAAAATTTTTTCCTTCAATCTTTGCCCCCAAAAAAAAAAAGGGGTTTTTTTTAGATTTTAGGAATGGGAACTCCAAAGGGTTCAATCCCTCCTGGAGCTGCTGGGCACACAGGGATGAAGAACAGGAATTAAAATTCCAGATGGAGAAGGGAACTGGAAGGAGTTATCCAGCTTGGATTTTGCTGTTCTGTGGGATAAATTCCAGTCCTGGATCTGACACTGCATCCCAGAGCTGGGGAACAGCAAAACTCAGATTTTTTTTCCTCATGAAAAGGGGAAAAATGAGGAAAAATTCCCATTTTTGCCATCAATCCCAGCCAACTTCTACCTGCCTGGGATGGGTACTGGATTATCCCAGTGGGATGCAGAATTCCTGCATAAATATCCACTTGGAAATGTTTATATTTTACTATTTAAACTAAATCAAATTTAATAAACAGTGAATTAAAATTATAGAATTGAACTTTCAATTAAAAATTGAAATAATTAATGAAATTGAAATTTAATAAAGTTAAATTTCAATTTCCAAACCCCTCCTCCAGTATTTGATGAAGCAGGACAGCTCCTACTTTGGATTTTAAACCTGAGTTTTCCCAACAATTCCATGAAGGACCCCAAAATTCCCATCCTTTACTTTGTAGAAGGAAAAGCCCCAACAGATCCTAAACTTTCAGGTGCTTTAATACCCAAATTATTCCTCAGCTCAGATTGTTGGCATTTCAGGGAGTTTAGGAAAATGAACATTATTTAATTCCCATTTCAAGCCCTCTGTGGGGATGGAAAATCCCCTTCATTTCTGGCCTTGGGAAAATGGGATTTCTTCACCACAGTGAATTGGACTTAAAACACGGAATTCAGCTTAAATCACTAAACTGTGCTTAAATTGGTGAACTTGGCTTAAATCAGTAAATTTGGATTAAATCAATGAATTTCCAGTTCTGACACCAATTTAATCCCTCCAGGATTTCTCTGGATTAAGCAAGATCCCAGGGAAATCTGAAGTTAGTTACTTAATGAGACAAAAAAAAATAATTTTTTCCACCTGGTTTTTTTTTAAAGAAAATCAGAGACTTTTCCACTCATTGTGACCCTCAGGACTGCAGCAAAATCTGCCTGCCTGAGGGAAAACCACTGAAAAAAACATCAAAAAAACATGGAAAACCCATGAAAATTGGGATAGCAGTAGGTAAAGCTGCTCATCCCAGTTTCCAGCAGCAATTCCAGAGGAAATTCCAGAGCACAGCCCTGGAGAGATCTTAAATCCTCTGGAAAAGCTGGGCCAGCATTGGGCCTGGCCAGGCCTCAGGGGCTGGGAAAGAGACACGGCCCGGAGAATCCAGCAGGATTTCTGGGAATTTTATCCCAGAAATCCATTCAGAGTTTTATCCTGGATGAAAGGGATGCTTTAAAAATAGGCAGAGTTGGAAAATTTTTGAGAAGGAGGGGCTGAAAATCAGAGACTTTCCCACTCATTGTGACCCTCCGGACTGGAGCAAAATCTGCATGCCTGAGGGAAACCCACTGAAAAAACATCAAAAAAACATGGAAAAACCATGAAAATTGGGATAGCAGTAGGTAAAGCTGCTCATCCCAGTTTCCAGCAGCAATTCCAGAGGAATTCCAGAGCACAGCCTTTGAGGGATCTTAAATCCTCTGGAAAAGCTGGGCCAGGATTGGGCCTGGCCAGGGGCTGGGAAAGGGACATGGCCCAGAGAGTCCTGAAGGGTTTCTGGGAATTTTATCCCAGAAATCCATTCAGAGTTTTATCCTGGATGAAAGGGATGCTTTAAAAATAGGCAGAGTTGGAAAATTTTCGAGAAGGAGGGGCTGAAAACCAGAGACTTTTCCACACATTGTGACCCTCAGGACTGCAGCAAAATCCGCCTGCCTGAGGGAAAAATCGTGGAAAAAATCAGGGAAAACCCATGAAAATTGGGATAGCAGCAGGTAAAGGTGCTTATTCCAGTTTCCAGCAGCAATTCCAGAGGAATTCCAGAGCACAGCCTTGGAGAGATCTTAAATCCTCTGGAAAAGCTGGGCCAGCATTGGGCCTGGCCAGGGGCTGGGAAAGGGACACAACCTGAGAATCCAGCAGGATTTCTGGGAATTTTATCCCAGAAATTCATTCAGAGTTTCATCCTGAATGAAAGGGATGCTTTAAAAATGGGCATGTTGGAAAATTCTGGTTTTTTCTTGCTGGTCAGTATGAGGGGCTGACAACAGAAAGTTCTCCCACTCATCCTCACTAAATAATTAATTTTCCTTGTTGTTTTTTTTTTTTCCCTTCTCATCCCAGAAAACCACACCAAAATATGGGAAAAGATGAAGATGCCAATGAAACAAAACAATCCTTCCAGACAGGAGCTCTGAGCATCTCACCACAAACAGGGAATGAGAAAACAACAACAACAAAACCCCAACAAACACGAAAATCCCCCCTGAACACCTCCCAGACAGCGAAATTCCCAAAAAAAAACCCTGGAAAAGGCAGGACACAACAATATGAATGAGAAAATTGGACACTTACTTCACTGAGGAAGGCTGTAGCACTTACTTGATTAATTTCATTCGTTAGTTGGGACAGGATTGTCACTCCTATGATGCAGTGCTCTACACTGTCCTGGGGAGGCAAAGGCACAGCTTTTTTTTGGAAAAATTCCTTTTTTTTTTGTTTTTCCTTGGAAAAATTCTTGGCTAGAAAAACTTATTCCTTATCAAAAAAAAAAAAAAAAAAAGAGATTTTGGGAGGCTGTTTGAGTCAATGAATGCAGGAAGTTGAAAGAAATATCAGGAATATCCACGGGGTGGATTTGAGGTTGGAGAAGTTGGATCCTAAAGGCTGAAGGATCCAGAAGCAAATCCCTGCTCCTGGAAACAATTCTCTGCCAGCACAAACAATGCCCTGCATCCTGAATTTTTAAAGAGCTAAAGATGAAATGTGATTCCCATGGATAGGAAAGGAAAAACAAAGCAAAAAATTCATTGATTTTCTACCCATCCACAGAGTGGATTTTTCCACAGGGTGGAAAAGATGGATCCTAAAGGCTGGAGCATCCAGAAACAAATCCCTGCTCCTGGAAACAATTCTCTGCCAGCAGAAGCAATTCCCTGCTCCCTAAAACAATTCCCTGCTCCCTAAAACAATTCCCTGCTCCCTAAAACAATTCCCTGCTCCCTAAAACAATTCCCTGCTCCCTAAAGCAATTCCCTGCTCCCTGAATTTTTAAAGAGCTCTTTTACCCTCAGAAGCCCCTGCTGAAAACCACCAACGTGGAAAGGCCTGAACTCCTTCACACCACCTGCAAACTCCTGGATTTTGGTGAATCCTGGGAATTCTGAGGAGGGAATCTGACCTGCAGGAACTTGGTGCAGAGCTGAGAGCACCCAGGAACAATTCCCTGCTCTCTGAAACAATTTTCTGACTTTTAAGGAGCTCTTCACCCTCAGAATTCCCTGCTGAAAACACCGCTATGGAAGAACCCAAACTCCTCCTCTCCACCTCCAAACTCCCAGATTTTGGTGATTCCTGGGAATTCTGAGGAGGGAATCTGACCTGCAAGGACCTGGTACAGAGCATCCAGGAACAATTCCCTACTCCCCAAATTTTTAAGGAGCTCTTCACCCTCAGAAGCCCCTGCTGAAAACACCGCTCTGGAAGAACCTGAACTCCTTCAGGCCACCTGCAAACTCCCGGATTTTGGTGAATCCTGGGAATTCTGAGGAGGGAATCTGACCTGCAGGAACCTGGAGTAAAGCTGGGAGCATCCAGGAATAATTCCCTGCTCCCAGGAACAACTCCCTGACTTTTAAGGAGCTGTTTCCCCTCAGAATTCCCTGCTGAATACACCGCTACAGAAGAGCCCAGACTCTTCAATGCCATCTACAAACTCCTGGATTTTGGTGAATCCTGGGAATTCTGAGGAGGGAATCTGACCTGCAAGAACCTGGTGCAAAGCTGGGAGCATCCAGGAACAATTCCCAACTCCCAGGAACAACTCCCTGACTTTTAAGGAGCTCTTCACCCTCAGAAGCCCCAGCTGAAAACACCGCTCTGGAAGAACCCGAACTCCTTCAGGCCACATCCAAACTCCTGGATTTTGGTGATTCCTGGGAATTCTGAGGAGGGAATCTGACCTGCAGGAAGCGGGTGACGTCGTTGATGACGTTCCTGAAGACGTACTCGTCCTTCTGGCAGTCGAACCAGCCCAGCTTGGTGATCCTGGCGTAGAGCTGGATCAGCGCCTGCGTCACGAACGTCGCCAGCTTCGGCCTCGTGGCCAGGTAGTTCAGCACATAATTCCCTGGAAAACAGGGGCAAAATGGAGCAGGAGGCAAAATTCCCTGTGGGAATGGCCCGAAGGAAAAGGAGCTTTGGGGAGCTTGGTCTGAGTGGGGGAAGTTGGGAGAAATGTCAGGAATAAGAGAGAAATGTTGGGAAGAAACTTGGGAATTTAAGATACTGGGAAAGGGCTGGATTTAGCCCTGGAACACACTTGGAAAAGGGTTGGATTTAGCCTTGGAATAAACCTGGAAAAAGGCTGGATTTAGCCCTGGGAAAAGGTTGGATTTAGCCCTGGAACACACTTGGAAAAGGGTTGGGTTTAGCTCTGGAATAAACCCGGGAAAAGATTTATTTAGCCCTGGGAAAAGGCTGGATTTAGCTCCGGAATAGACCCAGGAAGGTCTGGATTTAGCCCTGGAATAAACCTGGGAAAAGGCTGGATTTAGCCCTGGGAAAGGGTTGGATTTAGCCCCGGAATAAACCTGGAAAAAGGGTGAAATTCCCACCCGAAACCTCCTTTGTTTTCTCCATCAACTCCAAAACTCTGGGAATTCTGTGGGCTGGAAAAACCCTCCAAGGTCACTGAGTCCAGTCCCAAGGGTTTTTGGACAATCCCAAGGGTATTTTGGGCCAATCCCAAGGGTATTTTGGAACAATCACAAGGATATTTTTGTCAATCCCAAGGATTTTTGGGACAATCCCAAGGGTATTTCAGGCCAATCCCAAGGATTTGGGCCAATCCCAAGGATATTTTGGACAATCCCAAGGATTCTGGGCAATCCCAAGGATATTTTGGCCAGTCCCAAGGGTATTTCAGGTCAATCCCAAGGATTTTTTCGTCAATCCCAAGGGTTTTTTGGTCAATCCCAAGGATTTTTTGAACAATCCCAAGGGTAGTTTTGGACAATCCCAAGGATTTTGGACAATCTCAAGGATTTCTGGTCAATCCCAAGGATTCTGGCCAGTCCCAAGGATATTTTGGCCAGTCCCAAGGATTTCTGGCCAATCCCAAGGATATTTTGGCCAGTCCCAAGGGTATTTTGGACAATCCCAATGGTAGTTCGGGATAATCCCAAGGGTATTCTGGTCAATCCCAAGGATTTCTGGTCAATCCCAATGGTATTTTGGGTAATCCCAAGGATTTCGGGTCAATCCCAAGGATATTTTGGCCAATCCCAAGGGTATTTCAGGTCAATCCCAAGGATTTTGGGCCAATCCCAAGGATTTCTGGTCAATCCCAAGGATATTTTGGCCAATCCCAAGGATTTTTTGAACAATCCCAAGGGTATTTCAGGTCAATCCCAAGGATTTTGGCCAATCCCAAGGATTTTGGCCAATCCCAAGGATTTTGGCCAATCCCAAGGGTACTTTGGATAACCCCGGCACTCACGGATGTCGATGCGCTGCTCCAGCGGCAGGGGGTTGTTTGTGCGTGACACCAGTTTGGTAAGGCAGGTGGCCGCCAGCAGCTTCCCAAGGATATTTTGGCCAATCCCAAGGATTCTGGCCATCCCAAGGGTACTTTGGATAACCCCGGCACTCACGGATGTCGATGCGCTGCTCCAGCGGCAGGGGGTTGTTTGTGCGTGACACCAGTTTGGTAAGGCAGGTGGCCGCCAGCAGCTGCGAGTAGGAGGACTGGAAAAAAGGGAGAAAAGGGAAAAAATTCCCAAAAAACAACAAAAGGAATTTTAATTCATGGAGAAGAAATGGGTCTGAAGCAAATTCCAGCTTGGGAATTGAAGGGAAGCAGCTCCCACCATGGAAGGACGTGGATGAAATCCAAAAATTCCCAAGAATTCCAACTATCCTGGGATAAAACCCCGAAGTTTTACAGGAATTTACAGAAATTACGCAGCAATTTACAAGAATTTTCCTGGAATTTACAGGATTTTTTCTGGAATTTACAGGAATTTTGCAGAAACTTTACAGGAATTTTTCAGGAATTTGCAGGAATATACAGGAATTTTTCATAAATTTTACAGGAATTCACGGGAATTTTTCAGGAATTTACAGGAATTTTGCAGGAATTCTGCAGGAATTTTGCAGAAATTGAAAGGAATTCTGCAGAAATTCCCAGGAATTTTTGGGATGTGGAATTCCATTATTTGGGGGAATTTGGGATGCACTCACACTCCCTCTCTTGAGGAGCAGCTGGCACTTGTTATTTATCAACCCACGGGAATTCCAGGATGGAAAAAGACATGGCAGAATTCCTTTATCCAAGCATGGAATTCCATGATTTTGAGGAATTTGGGGATGTGAAATTCCACAATTCTGGGGAATGTTTGGGATGTGTAATCCCAAGATTTTGGGAAATGTTTCAGGAATTTGGGATGCACTCACGCTGCCTCCCTCCAGGAGCAGCTGGCACTTGGGGCATGTTGGTGAACCCCACCAGGGCATGGAATGCCATGACTTTGGGGATGTGGAATCCCATGATTTTGGGGAATTTTGGGGACGTGGAATTCCATGATTTTGGGGAATGTTTGGGATGTAGAATTCCATGATTTTGGGGAATTTTTGGGAATTCTGGGGAATGTGTGGGATGTACTCACGCTGCCTCTCTCGAGGAGCAGCTGACACATGGGAAATGTTGTTGAACTCCACCAGGGCATGGAATCCCATGATTTTAGGGAATCTTTGGGATGTGAAATTCCATGATTTTGGGGAATTTTGGGGACGTGGAATCCCATGATTTTGGGGATTTTTAGGAAATTTTTGAGGAATGTTTGGCAATATTTAGGATGTACTCACACTGCCTCTCTCGAGGAGCAGCTGGCACTTGGGGAATGTTGGTGAACCCCACCAGGACATGGAATTCCATGATTTTGGGGAATGTTTGGGATGTGGAATTCCATGATTTTGGGGAATGTTTGGGATGTACTCACGCTGCCTCTCTCCAGGAGCAGCTGGCACTTGGGGCATGTTGGTGAACCTCGCCAGAACACAAAATTCCATGACTTTGGGGAATGTTTGGGAATGTTTGGGATGTACTCACGCTGCCTCTCTCCAGGAGCAGCTGGCACTTGCTCAGGCAGTCGGGGCTGTTGGTGAACTCCACCAGGGCCTTCTCGGCCTGCAGGCGCGTGCCCGTGTCCGTGGTCTCATAGAGCTGCTTGCACAGGTTCTCCAGCTGGGCCAGGCTCTGCCCGGGCAGGAAACACAGAAAAACAGGGAAAAATGGGATTTAGGGACACTGCAGAGAAATTACGCAGCAATTTACAAGAATTTTTCAGGAGTTTACAGGAATTTTGCAGGAATTTGCAAGAATATACAGGAAATTTTACAGGAATTCACGGGAATTTTTCAGGAATTTACAGGAATTTTTCAGGAATTTACAGGAATTTTTTGCAGGAATTCTGCAGGAATTGAAAGGAACTCTGCAAGAATTTACAGGAATTTTTGCAGGAACTTTTCAGGAATTCTGCAGAAATTGCCAGGAATTTTTGGGATGTGGAATTCCATTATTTTGGGGGAATTTGGGATACTCAAGCAGCCTCTCTTGAGGAGCAGCTGGCACTTGTTATTTATCAATCCACGGGAATTCCAGGATGGAAAAAGACATGGCAGAATTCCTTTATCCAAGCATGGAATTCCATGATTTTGGGGAATTTGGGGATGTGAAATTCCACAATTCTGGGGAATGTTTGGGATGTGGAATCCCAAGATTTTGGGAAATGTTTCAGGAATTTGGGATGTACTCACGCTGCCCCCCTCCAGGAGCAGCTGGCACTTGGGGAATGCGGCTGGGCCAGGCTCTGCCAGGGCAGGACACAGGAAAACAGGGAAAATGGGAAAAATGGGATTTAGGGACACTGCAGGGCTGGGCCAGGCTCTGCCCGGGCAGGACACACAGCAAACCATGGAAAAATGGGATTTAGGGATTTAGGGACACTGCAGGGACCCCTCAGCACTGGCAGCAGGAGCTCAAGTTTGTGCTCACACACGTGGGGCTCACCAGGAATTCCCCTTCCTTTTTCCTTCCTTTTTTCCTTCCCTTTCCCCTTTTCTTTTCCTTTTTCCTTTCCTTTCCTTTCCTTTCCTTTCCTTTCCTTTCCTTTCCTTTCCTTTCCTTTCCTTTCCTTTCCTTTCCCCTTTTTCATTTTTCCTTTCTCCCATTGGATTTCAAGGATTCCCTGCATGGCAATTCCTCCCATTTCCACCTTTTTCATTTTACAGGAATTCACAGGAATTCTGCAGGAATTTGCAGGAAATTCTGCAGGAATTTCGCAAGAACTTTACAGGAATTCTGCAGGGATTTGCAGGAATTTTGCAGGAATTTACAGAAATTTTGTAGGATTTTTACAGGAATTTTACAGGAATTTTTCAGGAATTTTTCAGGAATTTTTCAGGAATTCCAGGAGAAAGCCCAGACGAGGCTTTCCCTGCAATCCCTCCCCACTTCCAAGGAAACATTCCCAGGAATTCCTGCCCTGGGCTTTGTGTGGCCCTGGCAGGGACAGAGCTCCCAGAATGACCCCCCAGAGCCTGGAAAAAACCAGGGACACAATTCCCAAAAAACCACCACGACACAGGAACAACCCTGGAATTCTGTGCAAAAAAATCCCAGATTTCTCCAGGAATAAATCCAGCAGGATTCAACCCCAGCTTTTAAATCCCTGCCCTGCCAATCCCTAATTTCATTTTTTTCCCAAAGAATTCCTCAGGAGGGATTCGTGGGATGGGGGAATTTAGGGAGAGCTCCCAGGGAAAGCTGAAATCCCAAAAATTTGGGGGTTTTCATCCATCATTTCCATCAAATTTCCATAATTTCAGGAGGTTTTATCCCTCATTTCCACAAAAATCTGTAATTTTTGGAGTTTTTAATCCACAATTCTATCAAATTTCCATAATTTCAGGAGTTTTAATCCATGATTTCCACGAAATTCCATAATTTTTGGAGTTTTAATCCATCATTTCCATTAAATTTCCATAATTTCAGGAGGTTTTATCCATCATTTCCATGAAATTCCATAATTTTTGGAGTTTAAATCCATAATTCCATCAAATTTCCATAATTTCAGGAGTTTTCATCCATAATTTTGGGGGTTTTCCTCTATAATTTCCATCAAATTTCAATTTCAGGAGTTTTTATCCATAATTTCAATAATTTCCATAATTTTGGGAGGTTTTATCCATAATTTCCATAATTTTGGGAGGTTTTATCAGTAATTTCTATAATTTCAATTTCAGGAGTTTTTATCCATAATTTCAATAATTTCCATAATTTTGTGAGGTTTTATCCATAATTTCCATAATTTTGTGAGGTTTTATCCATAATTTTGTGAGGTTTTATCCATAATTTCCATAATTTTGGGAGGTTTTATCCATAATTTCCATAATTTTGGGAGGTTTTATCCATAATTTCCATAATTTTGGGAGGTTTTATCCATAATTTCCATAATTTTGGGAGGTTTTATCAGTAATTTCTATAATTTTCATAATTTTTGGAGCTTTTATCCATAATTTCCATAATTTCAGGAGTTTCTACCCATAATTTCCATCAAATTTCCATAATTTTGGGAGTTTTGATCCATAATTTCCACAAAATTCCAGAATTTTTGGAGGCTTTATCTACAATTTCCATTACTTCCATAACTTTGAGAGTTTTTATTCATAATTTCCATAATTTTGGGAGTTTTTATCCATAATTTGGAGACTTTTTATCCATAATTTGCACAAAATTTTCCTAATTTCAGTTTTATCTATAATTTCCATAATTTCAGAAGTTTTCATCCCTAATTTCCATCAAATTTCAATAATTTCAGGAGTTTTTATCCATAAATTCCACAAAATTCCCATCATTTGGGAAGTTTTTAGCCAGAATTTCCATAATTTTGGGGCTTTTTCCACTTCCAGAACATCCTGGTCCCTTCTCCCCCTCCCAAATTTCCTTCCAGCCCACAAAACCCATGGAAAAAAACCCATTTTTAGTCATTCCAAGATTTCCTAAATCCAAGGAAAAAGGGAATTCTCATTTCCCAGACAGGAAATTCCCATCCTTGAAGGAACCACTTCAGGAACAGGAATTAAAAAGAAAAATGGGAAAAATCTGCTTCCAAAGGGATAAAAAAAAGGATTTATCTCCCCACTCAGCTCCAAGGAGAAAAAAAATTGGAAAATCCCAAAATATTTATTCCAAGAAGGTGAAAAAAGCAGCTCCAAGTGCAAAATTCCTCAAATTTTGGATTTTTTGGGATAAAAACCAAGTAGAATCCATGAAAAACAGGTTTGGGCTTTGCCATTCCAGGTGGAAATCCATAAAAAAAGAGGTTGGGAATTCTTCAGAGTGGAAAAAAAATCCATGAGAAATTAATTTGGGCTTCATCATTCCAGGCAAAATCCAGGCAAAATCTTTTTGGGCAGCAACACTCCAGGAAAATCCCAAAAATTTGGATTTGGGCTTCATGGCTGCAGGAGAAATCCAGAAAAAATTCTGGGGGCTTCTTCACCAAACCAGGAAAAATCCATAAAAAATTGTGTTTGTCTTCCTCCAGGAAAAATCTTTTTGGGCAGCAACACTCCAGGAAAATCCCAAAAATTTGGATTTGGGCTTCATCGCTGCAGGAGAAATCCAGAAAAAATTTGGGGGCTTCTTCACTCCAGGTAAAATCCATAAAAATATTTTAGGGCTTCACCAAACCAAGAAAAATTCCTTAAAATTTAATTTGTGCTTCATAATTCCACGTAAAATCCACAAAAAATCTTTTTGGGCTCCAGAACATCAGGAAAAATCCCTAAAAAATTGGATTTGTCTTCATCACTCCAGGTAAAATCCATAAAAAAAATATTTTTGGGCTCCAGCACGTCGGGAAAAATCCATAAAAAATGAATTCAGGCTTCATCCCACTGAATAAAATCCATGGAAAACTTTTTTGGGCTCCACCACAATTCCAGGAGTTCCTCTGGGAGTTGTTGGAAATTCAAAGTTCTCAGCAAGCAGCAGTGGGATTTCCCCACCTTCCCCAACCCTGCTGCCAGTGGGGATTTGACTCAAAATCCCAATATTCCCAAAGAATATTCCATGAAAACCCCTCTGGAGCCAGGCTGGGAATTTCTGCTGGAAAAGGGAAATTCCAGGGAAAAATTCCAGAGCCTGAAGGGGCTCCAGGAGGGTTTGGGATGGAGGACAGGGATGGATTTCCCTGGGAAAATGGAATTAAATGGGATTTTGGGCAGGAACTCCTGCCTGGGACAGAATTCCCAGAAAACTGCAGATCCCTGGGAGTTCCCAAACATTCCAGCTTGGGAAAATAAAAGATTTCTGCCCCAAATCCCAACCCCAGCCCCTTTTCCCAGCACTCCAACCCCTCCTGGAGCTGCTCGAGCTCCCAAATCCCTTCTCAGCCTGGGGGGAGAAATTCCAGGGAAAAATTCCAGAGCCTGAAGGGGCTCCAGGAGAGCTGGAGAGGGATTGGGATGGAGGGATTCCATGAAATTCCAGGAATTTCTCCCTGGAAAGGGGAAATTAAATGGGATTTTGGGCAGGAATTCCTGCCTGGGACAGAATTCCCAGAGATCTGAGGATCCCTGGAAGCTCCCGAATATTCCAGTCTGGGATAACAAAAGGATTTCTGCCCCAAATCCCAACCCCAGCCCCTTTTCCCAGCACTCCAGCCCCTCCTGGAGCTGCTCGAGCTCCCAAATCCCTTCTCAGCCTGGAACACCTCCCAGAGCTCTGCTGTTAAACTTTAACCCCGCTGAGCTCGGCGTTCCCGACCCCTCCAGCTCCAACTTTCCCCACTTCCACCTCCCTCAATCCCGGATTTACCACGGAAAACTCGGCTTTGGAGCAGAATTCCCAGAAAATCCGGATTTTCCCCTGAAAATCCTGGTTAACAATGCAGCAATTCCTCCTTTCCCTCGGGATCAGAATTCCCAGGAACGTTCCCAGCTCTCTGCTGAGTTAATGAACTGCTCGGGATTGATTTATTCCCAAAGTTCCAGGGATAATAAATAACTCCTGGGAATTCTGTTCTACCCCAAAAAAACCTCAGGGAAAACCCTGCAAACTGTGCCTGGCTTTGGGTTTGCTGCCTCGGGGGGTTTGGGGTCAATTTTAGGGGGTAGGGTTTGATTCCCTTTCCCGGGGGTTTGGGTCCCTCCACTCCACCCTGGAACTTTTCCACCTCTGATTTTCTCCCATCTCCTGCCCCACAAACTGTTCCACTCTGGGATTCCCCTGAAACACCCGTGGGAAACCTTTCCTGACCCTGAGTGTCCAAACCTGGATGGGAAAGGAACAGAACTGGGCTGGGAAAGGAACCCAAACAGGGCTGGGAAAGACCCTAAAGCAGGCAGGGAAATGACCCCAAACCCGGCCGGGAAATGACCCTAAAGCAGGCAGGGAAATGACCCCAAACCAGGCAGGGAAATGACCCTAAACCCGGCCGGGAAATGACCCCAAACCAGGCAGGGAAATGACCCTAAAGCAGGCAGGGAAATGACCCTAAAGCAGGCAGGGAAATGACCCTAAGGCAGGCAGGGAAATGACCCTAAGGCAGGCAGGGAAATGACCCTAAATCGGGACCCGAACCGGGCCGGGAAAGGAACCCAAACAGGGCTGGGAAAGGAACAGAACCCGGCTGGAAACGGAGCCGAGGCGGGCCGGGAGAGGAACCCAAAGCTGTGTGGGAAATGAACCGAGCCGGGCTGGGAACGGAGCCGAGCGGGGCCGGCGGTGCCGCAGCCCCCCAGGAGCGGGAGCGCCCGGCCCGGCCGGGGCAGCGCAGCCCCGCTGACAGCGGCGGCACGGCGGTGACAGCGGGAGCCGGGGCCTGCGCGCGGCGCTGGGGACACGCCCACAGCGGCATGGCCGCGCCCACCGCGCGCGCGCGGCGCGCTGCGCGTGACGTCACGGAGGAGGCGCGGCGCGGGTGGGGGGGGAAGGAGGGAGGGGCGCGAGGCGGGTTTGTTGACACGGCCTTAAAGGGGCCGCGCACCCGGGACAGCGGGGACAGAGGGGACAGCGGGGACAGCACAGGGACACCACTGTGAGCACTGGCACCAGCGCGCCCAGTGCCACTGGACAGCGCGGGGACAGAGCGGGGACAGCGGGGACAGCACAGGGACAGCACTGTGAGCACTGGCACCAGCACGCCCAGTGCCACCGGTGCCTCCGATGTCACCAGTGTGAGCACTGACGCCAGTAAAACCAGTGCCACCAGTGCCACCAGTGTGACCGAACACACCAGTATGACCGGTGCCACCAGTGCCAGCAGTGCCACCAGTGCCATCAGTGCCATCAGTGCCCTGCTGCCACACCCCGTGACCCCAGTGTCCTGCCCAGTGCTCAGTGTCCTCCACCTGTGCCCAGTGCCCATCAGCACCACAGGGTGGCACAGGGGCGTGTCCCCAGTGCCACACCCACATGTCCACCAGTGGCACACCCACAGTGGCACACCCACAGTGCCACACCCACAGTGCCACACCCAGGTGCCCTCCAGTGCCACACCCACCTGTGCACAGCGCCACGCCCACCGTGCCACACCCATGTGTCCACACTGCCACACCCAGATGCCCGGCAGTGCCACCCTGACGGCGCCGTGCCCACCTGTCCGGCTGTGCCGCACGCCGTGTCCCCGCTGTCACACCCCGTGTCCCCAGTGCCACACCCCGTGTCCCCGCTGTCACACCCCGTGTCCCCAGTGTCACACCCCGTGTCCCCCGAGTCACACCCCGTGTCCCCAGCGTCACACCCCGTGTCCCCGTGGGGACCCACAGGAAGTCGCAGCGCGCAGGAAGCGGCAGAGCCCGGCTGAGCGCGGCACGGGCTGAGCCCGCCCCGGTGACACCGCGGGGGACACGGCCCCGGGACCCCGGGACACTGAGGACACCTGGGGACACTGCGGGCACTCAGGACACACCGGGCACTCAGGACACTCCGGACACTTGGGGACGCTCTGGACGCTGTGGACGCTCGGACACTTGGGACACTCTGGACACTCGGGACATTTGGGACACTCGGAACACTCGGGGACACTCGGACACTGCGGACGCTCGGACAGGCCGCGATGGACGAGGCGGTGGTGAAGCAGGGCGGGATGTTCCTGCAGCTGCAGCAAACCTTCGGGAAGGTCAGCGGGGTCGGGGGGCCTGGAGGGGGAGAATCCCACGGGAACGGGGAGAATCCCACGGGAACAGGGTGAGTCCCATGAGAACGGGGTGAATCCTGCAGCAATGGGGTGAATCCCAGAGGAACGGGGTGAATCCTGTGGTAATTAGGTGAATCCCATGAGAACGGGGTGAATCCCATGAGAAGGGGGTGAATCCCACAGGAACGGGGTGAATCCTACAGGAATGGGGTGAATCCCAGAGGAACGGGGTGAATCGGGTGAATCCTACAGGAATCCCATGAGAACGGGGTGAATCCCATGAGAAGGGGGTGAATCCCACAGGAACGGGGTGAATCCTACAGGAATGGGGTGAACCCCATGGGAACGGGGTGAATCCTGCAGCAATGGCGTGAATCCCACAGGAACGGGGTGAATCCCACAGGAACGGGGTGAATCCTACAGGAATGGGGTGAATCCCACAGGAATGGGGTGAATCCCACAGGAACGGGGTGAATCCCACAGGAACGGGGTGAATCCTACAGGAATGGGGTGAATCCCACAGGAATGGGGTGAACCCCATAGGAACGGGGTGAATCCCACAGGAACGGGGTGAATCCTACAGGAATGGGGTGAATCCCAGAGGAACGGGGTGAATCCTGTGGTAATTAGGTGAATCCCATGAGAAGGGGGTGAATCCCACAGCAATGGGGTGAATCCCACAGGAACAGGGTGAATCTCACAGGAATGGGGTGAACCCCGTGGGAATGGGGTGAATCCCATAAGAGCAGGGTGAATCCCACAGGAACGGGGTGAATCCCACAGGAATGGGGTGAATCCTACAGGAATGGGGTGAACCCCATGGGAACGGGGTGAATCCCATGGGAACGGGGTGAATCCCACAGGAATGGGGTGAATCCCACAGGAATGGGGTGAATCCCACAGGAACGGGGTGAATCCCACGGGAATGGGGTGAACCCCATGGGAATGGGGTGAATCCCACAGCAATGGGGTGAATCCCACAGGAATGGGGTGAATCCCACAGGAACGGGGTGAATCCCACAGGAACGGGGTGAATCCCACAGCAATGGGGTGAATCCCCTGGGAACGGGGTGATCCCACCTGTTGATGCTCAGCTGTCCCGCAGCCACCACAGGGGGACAGGAGGTGCTGGGGACACTTTGTACAGACCCCCCCAGGAGAGGCTCTGCACAGTAAGGGGGTGACAGAAGTGACCCCAAAGCCACACTGGGTGACAAATACAGCCCCCAAAGCGGGGTGAGGGATGTGAGCCCCAAAGGTGCATTTGGGGACAGTTCCAGCTGGAGGTGATAGCTGCAGGCCCCAAAGCCACATTTAGGGACAGTGACGGCTGCAGGCCCCAAAGCCACACTGGGGACAGTGACGGCTGCAGGCCCCAAAACTGTGTGGCTTCCGCTGCCGATAAAGGCTGAGGTCGGGCAATGGCTGCGAGGGGGAAGGAGCTGAGGGGCCCCTCCTGCCCCTCTCCCTTCTCTTCCTCCCCACAGATCCCATCCCCAGCGGATCCACGAGGGATCCCAAAAGGATCCAAGGGCAGGGATCCCAAAACCCCATCCCGGGCAAAGGGAGCTGCGGGCCCCGGAGCTGCTGGGAGCGATGTGCTGCTTTTGGGGCCGCTTTCCCTGCCCCCACTTCCCCTCTGCCCTGAGGCCTCCCGCGCTCCCCGAGCCGGAACTGCTGCTGCTTTTGGGGCAGAGCCAGAGAGATGAAAATGTGGGGTTTTTAGGGAAAACGGGAGGAAGAAGGAGCTGGAAGTTGTTCACGGCTTTTTTGGGAATGGGGTGGGTGAGGCTGGGGGTGGAAAAGCCTTGGTTCATGTCAGGGGTGATTTAAATCCCAATTTATGTCACCCCCACCTTCAGCCAGACCTGCAGGGCTTTGCACCCTTGTCCTGTTTTAGGTGATCCTAAGCAGGGTCCCAAGGGGATAAAAACTCCTGGGAAGGTAAAAACTCCTGGGAAGGTAAAAACTCCTAGAAAGATGAAAAGTCCCGGAAAGGTAAAAACCCCTGTGAAGGTGAAAACTCCTGGGAAGGTAAAAACTCTTGAAGGTAAAAACTTATGGGAAGGTAAAAATTCCTGGGGAGGTAAAAACCCCTGGGAAGGTGAAAACTCCTGGGAAGGTAAAAAAAAAACCCTGGGAAGGTAAAACCCTCCTGGAAGGTAAAAACCCCAGGGAAGGTAAAAATTCCTGGAGAGGTAAAAAACCCCTGGGAAGGTAAAAACTCATGGGAAGGTAAAAACTGCAGGAAAGTTAAAAACCCCAGGGAAGGTCGAACCCTTTTGGGAAGGTAAAAACCCCAGGGAAGATAAAAACTCCAGGGAAGGTTGAACCCTGTTGGGAAGGTAGAACATCAAGGAAGGTCAAGCACTTTTGGAAAGGTAAAAACCCCATGGAAGGTTGAACTCTGTTGGGAAGGTAGAACCCCAGGGAAGGTCGAACCCCAGGGAAGGTCGAACCCTCTTGGGAAGGCAGACACCCTGGTTGTCCCCCCGGCAGAAGTGGAAGAAGTTCTGGGCCGTGCTGTACCGGGAGAGCTCGTGCTCCACGGCGCGCCTGGAGCTGCTGGAGGGCCCCGAGCGGCCGCGCAAGGCCGAGGGCAGCCGGCGCCTGGTCCGGCTCAGCGACTGCGTCCACGTGGCCGAGGTGGGCGGCGATGCCACCTGTCCCAAGGACACCGTCCCCTTCCTGCTGGAGACCACGGAGCGGCGCTTCCTGCTGGCCGCCGACGGCGCCGAGGCGGCCGAATGGATCCAGCGGCTGTGCGAGCTGGCGTTCCCGGTACGTGCCCGGATAGCGCTGGGAAAGGTGGGATCCACCGGGGCGGGTGGGAATCCACTGGGGTGGATGGGATCCGCTGGGGTGGGTGGGATGCACTGGGATGGATGAGATCCATTGGGATGTATGGGATCCACCAGGGTGGATGGGATCCACCGGGGTGGGCTGGCGTTCCCGGTACGTGCCCGGATAGCGCTGGGAAAGGTGGGATCCACCGGGGTGGGTGGGATCTGCTGGGATGGATGGGATCCACCGGGGTGGGTGGGATCCACTGGGATGGATGAGATCCATTGGGATGTATGGGATCCACCAGGGTGGATGGGATCCACTGGGATGGGTGGGATCCGCTGGGATGGGTGGGATCCGCTGGGATGGGTGGGATCCGCTGGGATGGGTGGGATCCGCTGGGATGGGTGGGATCCACTGGGGTGGATGGGATCCATTGGGATGGTTGGGATCCACCAGGCTGGATGGGACCTGCTGGGATAGATGCGATCCAATGAGATGGATGGGATCCACTGGGATGGATGGAACCCACCTGGATATGTGGCATCCACTGGGATGGATGGGATCCACCAGGATGGGTGGGATCCACTGGGATGGATGGCAGCCCTCACCTGCCTGGGATCTGCTGGGATGGATGGGATCCACCGGGGTGGGTGGGATCCACTGGGATGGATGAGATCCATTGGGATGTATGGGATCCATTAGGATGTATGGGATCCACTGGGAAGGATGGGATCCATCGGGGTAGATGGGATCTGCTAGAATGGATGGGACCCACAAGGGTGGATGCTATGCACTGAGTTGGATGGGATGCACCGGGATGGATGGGATCTGCTGGGATGGATGGGATCCATTGGGATGGATGGGATCCGCCAGGCTGGATGGGACCTGCTGGGATAGATGCGATCCAATGAGATGGATGGGATCCACTGGGATGGATGGGATCCACTGGGGTGGGTGGGATGCACTGGGATGGATGGGATCAACTGGGTTGGATGGGATCCACCAAGATGGATGGGGTCTGCTAGAATGGATGGGATGCACAGGGATGGGTGGGATCCACTGGGATGGCTGGGATCCTCTGGGGTGGATGGGATCCAATGAGATGGATGGGATCCACTGGGATGGATGGAACCCACCTGGATATGTGGCATCCACTGGGATGGATGGGATCCACCAGGATGGGTGGGATCCACTGGGATGGATGGCAGCCCTCACCTGCCGCTCTTCCCCCGGGGCAGAGGAGCCGGGAGGAGCCGGGAGTGGCCAAGGAGGGCACCGAGGGCGAGTTCTCCATGGAGGAAAATTCCCTGTACAGCTCGCGGGGCAAAGGTGGGAGCGGGGCTGGGGCTGTGAGGGGTGGGGAAATCTCCCCAAAAGCCTCTTCCTGTTTGTGGGGCCGGCTCGGCTGCGCTATCAGCAGTGGTCATCCTGGCCAGCCCTTATCGGCCGGACACTGCTGGCCTGGCTGGAGGGGTCATCCACGGCCCTTCTGCAGGGTGGGACACGTGTCCAATGCTGTGTCCACCCCAGGTGGCCTGGAGCAGGCTGTCCTGGCTTGGGGGTTACTAACATACCTTCTCCAGGGTGGGATATGTGTCTAGTGTCCACCATGTCCACCCCAGCTGGCCTGGAGCCATTTGTCCTGGTTCAGGGCTCATTCAAAGCCCTTCTGTGGGGTGGGACGTGTGTCCAGTGTCCACCCTGTCCATCCCAGCTGGCCTGGAGCCATCTGTCCTGGCTTGGGGGTCACTCACAGCCCCTCTGCAGGGTGGGACACGTGTCCAATGCTGTGTCCACCCCAGCTGGCCTGGAGTGCCAGCCCTTATCGGCCGGACACTGCTGGCCTGGCTGGAGGGGTCATCCACGGCCCTTCTGCAGGGTGGGACACGTGTCCAATGCTGTGTCCACCCCAGGTGGCCTGGAGCAGGCTGTCCTGGCTTGGGGGTTACTAACATACCTTCTCCAGGGTGGGATATGTGTCTAGTGTCCACCATGTCCACCCCAGCTGGCCTGGAGCCATTTGTCCTGGTTCAGGGCTCATTCAAAGCCCTTCTGTGGGGTGGGACGTGTGTCCAGTGTCCACCCTGTCCATCCCAGCTGGCCTGGAGCCATCTGTCCTGACTTGGGGGTCACTCACAGCCCCTCTGCAGGGTGGGACACGTGTCCAATGCTGTGTCCACCCCCGCTGGCCTGGAACAGGTTGTCCTCGCTTGGAGGTCATTCACAGCCCCTCTTTGGGTTGGACATGTGTCCAGTGTCCACCCTGTCCATCCCAGCAGACCTGGAGCAGTCTGCCCTGGCTTAGGGGTCACTCTGAGGGGTGGGACACGTGTCCAGCACCAGCTGTGTCCGGGGCTCTGGCCTGGGGGGGTCACTCACAGCCCCTCTGCGGTGTGGGACCTGTGTCCAACGCTGTGTCCATCCCCAGCCGGCCTGGAGCAGGCGTTTGAGGTGACAGTGAGGGTGACACCGTCATCGCAGCGCTGCCGCCTCCGGGGCCGCGGCATCCTGCGGGCGGGCGAGGAGGCGCTGGAGCTGTGGCACCCGCAGAGCCAGGAGCTGCTGGCCAGCTGGCCCTACCGCTTCCTGCGCCGCTTCGGCCGCGACAAGGTCAGTGTGCAGCCGCAGGGCCGGGCCGGACATGGCCGTGGCCTGGCGCTGACCCCTGCCCTCCGCAGGTGACCTTCTCCTTCGAGGCCGGCCGGCGCTGCGCGTCCGGAGAGGGCAACTTCGAGTTCGACACCAGGCAGGGCAACGAGATCTTCCAGGCCATCGAGGCGGCCATCGAGGTCCAGCGGGGCCGCGGCGCCGAGGAGCCGCGCCGGGGGGGCCCTGTGGATGAAACCCCGCGGCCGCTTGAGCACGCCAGGACACCCGGCCGGGCACAGGGCCATGAGGAGGGCAAAGGGGTCAAGGGCAGGCCGGTGATGCCCCCCGGGGCTGGGGAGGCCTCGGGGCCGTTCCAGCTGGCACGGGGTGCGGATTGTCCCTACGCCGAGCCCCACGACGCCCTGCGCCGCGGGAACGCGGCCGCGCCGCCCGACACGGGCCGGAGGCCGGACGGGGCCAGGGTGGAGTCCGAGTACGCCGTCCCCTTCGACACCATCGCCAAGTCCCTCCTGGCGCGCCAGTTCGGTGGCCTGGGCTGTCCCCAGGAGGGGCTCCCCGAGCCGCCGAGTGTCCCCAGGGATGCAGGGGGGGCTCAGCAGCCCCCCGGCCGCCCCACGGCCCCCAAACCCGAGCACATCTACGACGAGCCCGAGGGTCTCTCGGGCCTCTCGCTGTACGACGAGCCCCAGGAGGTGAAGGGGGAGGCCTGGAGGCTGCAGGCGGCCCCCGAGGAGCCCCCCGGGCTCGGGACTCCCTACAACGCCCAGCGCGACGACTACGCCGTCCCCAAGAGGCCCTTCCTGCTGCAGGGCAACGAGTGGCTCGGCGACTGCGACTACGACAACGTGGCCCTCAGGGTGGCCAAGAAGAGGAACCTGCAGTGAGCGGCAGCGGGGGAGACGAGGAGGGGACGCCCCAAATCCCCCAGCAGGACTTTACCCCATCCCCGGCAGAACTGAGACCCCCAGAGCCCAGCGCAGCCGGGGCTGGGGAGGGGGCACAGCCGGGGGTGGCAGGGGACAGCCGGGAGGTGGCAGGGGACAACCGGGAGGTGGCAGGGGACACCTGGGGGGTGGCAGGGGACAGCCGGGAGGTGGCAGGGGACAGCTGGAAGCGCTGGATGCGCCCACTGGAGGGCAGTGCGAGCCCACCGGAGCGGCGGTGCCCGGGCAGCGGGACCCCCGCGGCCGCAGCCCCGGGACCCCGAAGCCCGCTGGAGCAGCGGTTCCACCTCACTCATCCCCCGGGATGCACTTCCAGGGCGGCTGGAGCAGGAATGGCCTGGGGCGCTCAGCGGGGTGTGCTTCCTTGGGGATGGACATCCCAAATCACTCAGGATGGGCATCCCAAATCCCACGGGATGGATATCCCAAATCCCTCAGGATGGACATCCCAAATCCCTCAGGATGGACATCCCAAATCCCTCAGGATGGACATCCCAAATCCCACGGGATGGACATCCCAAATCCCTCAGGATGGACATCCCAAATCCCTCAGGGATGGGCATCCCAAATCCCCAGGGATGGATGTCCCGAATTCCCCAGGGTTGCAGATCCTACCCCATGGGATGGACAGAGCTCATTCCCTGTGATGGACATCCCAAATCCCCAGGGATGGACATCCCAAATCCCCAGGGTTGAACATCCCAAATCCCCAGGGATGAACATCCCAAATCCCCCAGGGATGCAGATCTCACCCCATGGGATGGACAGTGCTCATTCCCAGGGATTCAGATCCCGCCCCGAGCCCTCCTGTGCCCACACAGAGCCCCCAGTGCTCCCAGTATGTTCCAGTGCCACAGCAGCACCGGGTCCTTCCCTGCCCAAAGGTCCCTCCCCACCTTGCTCGGCAAACCCCAAATTCCGTCTGTTTCATCCTCACTTTTTTTTTTTAAATTCTCTTTATAAACGCCCCTTCCATCCCCTCTGGATTCCAGATGGAAAACTGGCTTTTATTTTCATGGAGATTTTCACGGCTTGCTCCATTCCTCCCACTACAAACCAGTACAGAGCCATAGGGCCATCCTCCTTGTGTTCCTTTTCCTTTTCCTTTTCCTTTTCCTTTTCCTTTTCCTTTTCCTTTTCCTTTTCCTTTTCCTTTTCCTTTTCCTTTTCCTTTTCCTTTTCCTTTTCCTTTTCCTTTTCCTTTTCCTTTTCCTTTTCCTTTTCCTTTTCCTTTCCTTTTCCCTTTCCCTCCTCATCTTCCTCCTCCTCCCCTTCCCAACCCTCCCAGCCTTTCCCAGGGGACATCCATCCCCTCAAGCAGCCCCACCCCAATTCCCATGGGATTTCCCTGGACCCCTCGGTGCCCAGGACCCCCCTGGGACCCCCCAGCCCCATCCCCACCCCGGAGCGACCTCGGGATCCCAGTTCCTCAGCATCCCATCAGCTTTTCCATGGAAATCTCGGCCATTCCATGAATTATTTATAGCCTCTCCCAATCAAAGGCGACGCTCAGGTGCTGCAGTTCATTTCCTGGATCCCGCGAATCCGACGGGAGGGTTTTAATGAGGCAAATTAAGTGGTTTTGATAAGAGATGCTGATTAAAGCTCCGGCTCCATCGCCGCATCCCGGGCGGGGTTGGGGGCAATGGGATGCACGGGTGGGATCCTGCTCCAGGTGGGATCCTGCTCCAGGTGGGGTCACACGGGGAAAAACACCTAAAAGTGCTCCAAAATAAAGGGAAAAGTCTCCAGCAGGGTTTTCCACATGGGATTAAGGAAAATCATGGAGCGAGGCAGAGCTGGAAGGGTGTAGGATGCTCTGAGGGGTGGGAGATGCTTCCCATCCTTTCCCAGCCCCATTCCTATGGAAAAATGGGATCATCCCCATCCATGCCCAGCTGGTTCCCATCCCCAGAGCCGGGGAAATCCAGAATTCCCAAAATGGAAAAATGGGATCATCCCTGTCCATGCCCGGACTCCAGAGCCAGGGAAATCCAGAATTCCCGAGCTGGAAAAATGGGATCATCCCTGTCCATGCCTGGGCTCCAGAGCCAGGGAAATCCAGAATTCCAGAGCTGGAAAAACGGGATCATCCCTGTCCATGCCTGGGCTCCAGAGCCAGGGAAATCTAGAGTTCCTGAGCTGGAAAAATGAGATTATCCCTGTCCATACCTGGCAGGTTCCCATCCCCAGAGCCGGGGAAATCCAGAATTCCCAAAATGGAAAAATGGGATCATCCCTGTCCATGGCTGGGCTCCAGAGCCAGGGAAATCCAGGAGAATTCCCGAGCTGGAAAAATGGGATCATCCCTGTCCATGCCTGGCTGGTTCCCATCCCCAGAGCCAGGGAAATCCAGGAGAATTCCCGAGCTGGGAACTCCTGGCAGCTCGGAGCCGTTCATTGGGAATCGATTGCTCAAGCACATGTTATTATTAATTAATTAACGCTCATTAGCGGGTTATTCATTATTAATCGGTGTTAACACAACCCTCCCTCCTCCCGCTCCATCCCTGCTCCTTCCAGGTTTCCTTCCTTAACCAAAGGAATGGAAACTCTGCCCAGACTTCACTTCCCAATCCTGTGGGAAGCCAGGGAATAAGGGATTGCTGGGAATGTGTCTGTAAAAGTGGGGAAACACTTCCCAAAATCCCCAATCCTGGAGTTAATTTCCCTGTTCTGTGGGAAGCCAGGGAATGAGCTCTGGGAATGGGGCTGTAAGAACATGGAAACAATTCCCAAACTTCCCAGTCCTGTGGGCTTCCAGGGAATGAGGGATCTCTGGGAATGGTGCTGTAGAAATGGGGAAACACTTCCCAAATTTCCCAATCCTGGAGTTAATTTCCCAATCCTGTGGGAAGCCAGGGAATGCAGGATAGCTGGGAATGGAGCTGTAAGAACATGGAAACAATTCCCAAACTTCCCAATCCTTTGGGCTGCTAGGGAATGAGGGATCACTGGGAACGGAGCTGTAAAAACAAGGAAACAATTCCCAAATTTCCCAGTCCTGCGGGCTGCCAGGGAATAACGGATCTCTGGGAATGGTGCTGTAAAAACATGGAAACACTTCCCAAACTTCCCAATCCTGAGGGAAGCCAGGCTGATGAGGGATCTCTGGGAATGGTGCTGTAAAAACAAGGAAACACTTCCCAAACTTCCCAATCCTGTGGGATTTGCAGCAGGCAGCCAGGGATTGTTTGGAATGGCACCGATCAAGTTTTAGCGGGGATTGGGTGAAATTTTAGGAATTTTGGTGCTGGAATTTCATCCCCTGCCTGTCCCACCACCTGGGTGGGGTTTGGAGTGGAAAAGAGCACCTGGCCTTGAGAATTCCAACTGGAAAAATCCTTGGAAAGGCTCAGCGAGGGGCTGGGCTGGGGAAAAAAATCAATGGAAAAGGAGGAGGGAAGAGCTTAAAGCCCAAAGCTCCAGACAAATGGAGAGATTTAATCTGATTTGGGAGTTATTGTCCTGATGGAATTACGCTGATTATGAATCATTTAGGAGCAGGGATAATCAAAACACGGATTTGTTCCGAGCTCCGAGGGGCTCCCGAGTCTCTTCCCGGGGGTGGAGAGAGGCAGAGCTGCATCCCGGGATGGAGAAGGGCAAGGAGCAGCATCCCAAGGGAAAACCGGGAGATTTGGAGGGAAAAGGGGCCTGGGGATCTCTGGGATGGGAAAACTGGGGCTGGGAGCAGAGCAGGGATGAAAATGGGATGATCCCAAGGGAAAGCTGGGCTGGTGGGAGCAGAGCAAGGAAAGTGGGATAAGGACATGTCTGGGATGGAGAGGAGCAGGAATGCAGCCCTGGGGAGAAAACTGGGAGAGTCCCAAGGGAAAGCCGGGCTGGGAAGGCTGGAGGGGCAGAGAGAGGAATGAGGGAGTGGGAATCTCTGGGATGGGGAGGGAGGGGAAAAAAGGATTGGGAACAGAGCAGGGATGCAGCCCTGTGGGGAAAAAACTGGGATAAACCCAAGGAAAAGATGGTCTGGAGGGGCAGAATGAGGAATGAGGGGTGTGGGAATCTCTGAGATGGAGAGGGAGGGAAAATTTGGGTTGAGAACAGGCCAGGGGTGGAGAAAACCAGGATGATTCCTGGGGAAACTGCTCTGGAAAAGGCTTGGATGGTCAGAGCATGAAAACAGAGAGTAGGGGATCTCCAGGATGGAGAGAAAGAGAAATTTGGATTTGGAACAGACCGGGGTGGAGAAAAACAGGATGATCCCAAGGGAAAGCTGGGCTGGCAAGGCTTGGATGGTCTGGGCATGGAAACAGGGGTGTGAGGATCTCCAGGATGGAGAGGAAGGGAAATCTGGATTGGGAACAGACCAGGAATGGAGAAAAACATGATGATCCCAGAGGAAACTGCTCTGGAAAAGGTTTGGATGGTCAGGGCATGGAAAGAGGGGTGGAGGGATCTCCAGGAGGGGGAAAACAGGGAACAAACCTGCTGGAAAGCGGGATGGGGACGCTCCCCGCGGCCTGGAGATGCCGCTCCCGTTTTTCCTGCAGCTCCACACAGCTCGTTTTCCCATTAGTGTCTCCTCGGATTAGGGATGCGCTCGCTCTCCGGCCCCGGCCGAATCCCAGGCGCCAGCAGGAGCTGGAAACTGCATTAGGGCCGTGCCAAGGAGCCCCTGATGCCATTAGGGGCGAGCATTAGAGGTGCTAAGTGACAAGGAGCTCATCAGGCCGGGATTGATGGAAATCCCGTTCCCGGAGCCGGCAGGAGCAGGGCCCTTCATTCAGGAGAAATTGCTTAATTGGGAAGGTCTGGATTGTCTCCGCCTGTCTCGTTCCTGGGGCTCTGGAGCTGCTCGGGGTGTGGGATGAGTGGGAGGGAGGAGGAGGTGGAGGTGGCAGAGTGCAGGGAAAACTCCCAAATCCGCCCATCCTGCTTTTCCTTGCCCTCTCGGCAGCTTGAGGATTCCCAGACTGGTCATTCCTGAGAATTCCAGCATTCCAGACCCGGGAAAAACCGGGCTGGTGGCTGTCCTGAGGGAGCTGGGCTCTTGCCTGCCCCGGGTGCAGCAGAATTAATTGGCCATGGCCGGGAGTCCACAAAGCCGGGCTTTGTTGGGAAGGAAGCAGTAAAGCCGCGTGTCCGCAGCCGTAATTCCTTCATCCCGCATTGATCCCGCGGCCTCTGCTGCCCACGGAGCGCCCGGGGCCGGGCTGGGCATCGATCCCGGGCACCTCGGCCAGGCCCGAGCACCCCTGGCCCTGCCCGGGCTGGGGGGGAATTCCCAGGCTCATTCCAGCCTGGAGCATCCTCATCCCTGCTCCTTCCAGGAGTGAATTCCCAAGATTATTCCAGCCTGGAGCATCCTAATCCCTGCTCCTTCCAGGAGTGAATTCCCAGGGTCATTCCAGCCTGGAGCATCCTCTGCCCCTGCTCGTCCTGGGAGCAATTCCCAGTCTGATCCCAGCCTGGAGAATCCCTAATCCCTGCTTGTTCTGGAAGCAAATTCCCAGATTAATCCCAGCCTAGTGAATCTCTGATCCCTGCTCATTCTGGGACCAAATTCCCAGTCTGATCCCAGCCTGGAGAATCCCTCATCCCTGCTCGTTCTGGGAGCAAATTCCCAGATTAATCCCAGCCTGATCCCAGCCTGGAACATCCCTGACCCCTCTCATTCTGGGACCAAATTCCCAGTCTGATCCCAGCCTGGAGAATCCCTCATCCCTGCTCGTTCTGGGAGCAACTGGAAGCAAATTCCCAGATTAATCCCAGCCTAGTGAATCTCTGATCCCTGCTCATTCTGGGACCAAATTCCCAGTCTGATCCCAGCCTGGAGAATCCCTCATCCCTGCTCGTTCTGGGAGCAAATTCCCAGATTAATCCCAGCCTGATCCCAGCCTGGAACATCCCTGACCCCTCTCATTCTGGGACCAAATTCCCAATCTGATCCCAGCCTGGAGAATCCCTGATCCCCGCTTGTTCTGGGCGCAATTCCCAAATTAATCCCAGCGTAGTGAATCTCTGATCCCTGCTCATGCTGGGACTGAATTCCCAGCCTGGAGAATCCCTCACCCTGCTCATGC